CTGACAAAACGTTAGGAAGAACAACCTTCAGAACATGGCCAAAGAGCCCGAAAAACCCACAACAACCATTAGATCCCAGCCGTGAAAGCCTTCGCGAATACAAAAGGTAATTATAGTTTGCTAAAGCTGGAAATAGAATGGTTGCAAGGTTAAGGAAAACAGATATCAAATCAAAGAACAAGATTCTGGTAAAATGAGTAAGATTATGCAAATAAAGAAACAATTTAAACCATTGAAAAATGTTACAAGCAACAAGCTTAGCACACTAGAAAACAAGAAGCAAACGTATCTGCCATGGGGATTGAAATCCACTCTTTCTCTTTTTCCAGGCCCATGGCAACTCGACTACTTCTAAGTTGCCTTTGCTAGCTCCTTTCTACCTGATGGCATTGTGACTGCCTTTTCCAGCTGCCAGCTAACTCATGCCCTTTTACTCCACTGATGTCATATTCTGTCTCCCCCTCTATCTTCTATGAGAGACATTTCTATGTTTTCCTGAAACCTTTGTGTCCGTACTTTGCAGGCTTAACGATGTGAATTCCAGAGACATGTATCCCAGGTAGTATTCTCTGCACCAATCAGGTGTCAGTTTGTTTCTCCCAGGCCTTTTTTTATGTTGTTGTTGTTGATATATATCATCAAGTTCCCTCAGACTCATGGCAACCTTATAAATGAGAGAGCTGCAAAAGATCCTATCTTCTACTGCCTTGCTCGGCTCTTGCAAACTCAAATCTAGGGCTTCCTTTAGGAAGTCAGTCCGTCTCATATCTGGTCTTCCTCTTTTCCTGCTGCTTTCAGCATTATTGTCTTTTCCAGAGAATCCTGCCTTGTCATGATGTGCCCAAAGTGGGGCAGCCTCAGTTTCAACATTTCTGCCTCCAAAGATAGTTGAGGTTTGATTTGCTCTTGGACCCACTGGTCCATTGTAGCCTGCTCAGTCTCCTCACTCACCTTCCTGGCCATCTGATCACCCGATTAACATGTCACAGGGGCAACCTGCCTGGAGTCCTTTTGATCCCTGTTCTTCTGATCTTGTGTTTTCTTATGGCAACTGAACTAAGACATTGTCATTTACAGAAGGAATCAGTTATATCAAGGTATCATCTACTTCAAGTGACAACAGTATAGAAAGGGAGGGAGGGAACAAGGCAGGGGGTAGGGCATAGCCAGCAATCACAGGGCAAATCATGCCCCTGGAATAGCTGCACACCAATGGCTGATGGGCCCACAGTGCCTCATCGTTCCATCCACAAACAGCGGCCAAGGCAATGGTCTGGTGGGGGAAAAAGCCTTCCAAAGCTGACGTTCCCTAACCAGTATGCTCATATATTCTGAAGCCTTGTTCTCTGGAGTTCTAGAAAACAGCCCCCGGGAGGATTAGCAGAAAAATTCAATTTCAATATTGAAAGATTTGTTGGCAGTTAACACAGCCATAATGGGATTAATACTTCTGGGGTAAGGTTAAAACAGAGCAACTTTTTTCAGCTCTAGTGACAAATTCATGGGAGGGGGGGAAATCTACACTCTTATAGGCAGGGACGTGGTTATTGAAGCAGTGGTTTATACTCAGAAAAGGCCAGTTTTATTTTAATATGAGTCAGAACCATTAACTAAATAAGAAATAATGAAAGTCATTT